CTCCCAGCTTCTTGTGCCCCCCCAGCCTGCTGGCTGGTGGGGTGGGGGGAGAAGCAGAAAAGGCCTTGACTCTGTGTCAGCACTGCTCAGCAGTAACAAAAACATCCCTGTGTTATCAACACTGTTTTCAGCACAAATCCAAAACATAGCCCCATCCTAGCTACTGTGGAGAAAATTAACTCTATCCCAGTCAAAACCAGCACAATGTGTCAGCAGGATAGCAACTACAGTGGCTCTGAGCTTCCACTTCAAGATGTCTCCTGTTTCCAGAGACTGAAGTAAAAAGTTTTGTTTCCCAATGGGCCCTGGAATAATAAGGTTGCGTTTTCATGAGTAGCGCAGGCTAAGTCAGGAGATAATGGATTGATCAAGCACACAGAGGAGTTTTGGGAGTTGTATGGGCATGGCTGTGGGGTCCCTTCTTTAGACTGATGGTGTTTTTTGCATCTTGAGGCTTGAGGGATCCTATCTATTGATTCTTTCTTTAATCCCCAGTGAGCAGGGTTGATACTAGCTCCTTTTTTGTGCTGTTCTGGAACAGTGTCTTTGGGGGAGCCACTGTAGCCTGTCTGGAGGATGGATTATTTTTACTAGCTGTCTTTTTATGAGGCCTTCCTTGCCCTTTTTTAATTTATTTCTTTTAGCGTTTTATGAGGGAAGATAGGATGGTGGGAGGGTGAACCAAGGAAACAAGTCAAAGAACTTGAAATCATTCAAAGGCTGCGGTGCAGCTATTTCCAACATGCATACTTTCTCGTTATCTCCCAAATGGCAGGTCAACTTTTCTTTTGCAAAGGATACAGTTCAGCGTGGATGTCTAGCCCCAAAGTATGACAGACTCCTGATGAGACTGGCTTGTTGTAACACACTTTCAATGAGAAAACTCCCCTTCCACAGTAACATACTGTGCTCTGATAGAGCAAGCTGTTAAATGCAATTAGATTATTACAGAGTGTCTTGATCCTCAGCTAATAAGTTTAGCTTGAGAAAGTAACCACTTAACTGTCACCAGCTGGCAGGCACCTACATTAATGCTGAAGGCTGCACATTGTTTAGATTTAAATTATCTTGGGAATTTAACTCTTGCATTGTAGCTGATAAAGAGCAGCATCATCTGGAGGAAGACCAGCTCTGGAAGCGGGTGCAGATTTTGCTACTCGGTGGGCTATTAATTTACTGAGGTGGGGATGGCTGCTTCCAGTCTGTTTCCTTTAAGTCGATACTGCTTGGGGCTCTCCCCCCTTCCCTTCATTGCTTTCCCCTCATGCAAAGGTATGTCAACATTTGAAAGGTCTCTAATTCCTTTATTGTTTTTGTGGAACTGTGACCAGCTAGTTGATAGATAGTTAAAAATCACCAGTTGTACCAAGGCTTCCCAAAGGGTTTCTTGCAACTTTCTTGGATGGAGAAAGAGACTTGATGCAAACAAGTCTGGTGAATTTAACTGTCAGTAGATGCTGATTTTTATTTTCCAGTTTCAGGGTTTTTTTGTTTTGTTTAAACTGGAGCCCAAGCCTAGGACAGGAAATGAATCCACTGAGCCACCCAGTCTGCTGACTGCTGATATAAAGAACATATGGACGAGGGCAGTGCAGAGGTGAAGTGGTTTAGCTATTGCAATCATGCATCAAGCTGATTGATTTGAATCCAAGATGATGCTGACATTTCAACTCAGCCTTTTTTCTATATGGCTGAAAGTTCAAAGGCAAGTGCAATCTCTTGGGAGAGGAAAAGTGTCCCTAGCAAGTTCAGGGGCTCAGCGCTGCCCTAGAGCTCTCCAGCTAGGCAAGGTCTTATTTCACTTTACAAATCTAACATAGATTTCTTTCTTGTTTGTTTGTATTGCTTGAATTTGGGACAGTAGCCAGTATCCTATTTACCCCAGAAGTAGATTGATGATAGACAGCTTAGCTGTTTGGGCAAGAAGCAGCTCCAAGAGTAACCTTGGCACCTCTAAAGTGATGCCAACGTGATTCCAAGCTTACTTTTTTTTTCCCTTTCCATAAGAATACAAGTAGGATAGAAAATTTGAGCAGCCTTGTTCAAGTAATGGTTTAATTCCAGAACTTCCCTCCCCCCCCCCCCCCCCCCATTTCAGTTCTTGGAATATTTTTATCTACTTTTAATAACTATTGTTTGCATCTTGTCATCCTGATATTTTTCAAACCTCTTAGATTCCCATGTGTTTACGATCTTCAAAGCAGCATAAGAAAATGAGGACTTTCCTCTTGGTATGATAGAGTGCAAAAACCCTCTCTTTTTTTACTGCTGGTTCACAAA